TCGATAGCCGTAGCTCTAAAATATACCTGACAGGTTATTTTTATTTGTTTGGTTTTCAGAAAACTTATCCATGTTTTCGACTCTGTAGTCTTCAGCAGAATGAACCAAAGCCACTCTGTACCCAGAGCTAACACCAGTGGTGCTTTTATTCAACATTGCAGGGCTTTACCTCAAGTGCTATGCAGTAAATTTAGAGGGAAAGAAAAATTTTATTAAATTATAACTGAGAGGAGCTGATTTTTTTTTTACATAGCAAACAAAAAATTCCTTCATGAAAGGCCATAAAACCCATATTATTTACCAGAGAGACCTTTCCTGTCTCCCAGGTAAACACTTACAGTGTGTAGACTTGTGTAAATACATATTTAGGAGTGGCTAAATATGGCGAGGTATTTTTAAAGGTGTATTTACAAAGCTGAATACATATATTGGCATTTTGTAAACTGTCCATGCTACTCTGCTGTCTAGAGCAGGATTCTGGTGGGTACCCCTTGGATATAGAGCCTGAGCTTCAAAACATTCATCTTTAATCAAAATTACTATGGACAGGTCCTTAAATCATTTCAAAAGGGTAAAATTTTTTAACTAATGGAGTTCAAGTCTTTCTTGGCAGTTTGACTTGAGAAAAAATTTTCAGAAATGCAGGCATCATTCACGGAAGTAAATCTCCTTTCTGAACATCTTTGTGCATAAAATAACCATCATTTCACATGCAGCTCAGAATATTACCAATGCCTCAAAGATACAGATCATATGATGAATGGATCAACTAGGAAATTTTAATCAAGGGGGATATGCTATTAAGATTTTTAAAAATACTTTAAATACACATGAAAATGTAAGTGATAAAAATCTGTTTGTCATTAATTCAATGGCAGGCAGCTTTTTATGATAATGTAGTGAAACTCTGTCTAGAGGATTCACGATGTCTGTTTCTTCCTCCCTTCCTGGGCAATGTATTCTGTGTGAGAAAAGACTGAGCTGGGAAGAGAGGTTGTACATAGACGAAAGAGCACTACCTCAAAACTCTTGCGGTGTGCTGTACCCCAGAATGCATGAGGATCCCATTTGTATAAAAGCCCTTGTTAAGAGGAGAAGTCGAGAGTCTAAATAACGCTAGAGCTTGGGCTATCTCAGGAGCCTTCAGCTAAGAAGTCTAAACAATACTTCTACTTCATTTTTAATGCAGTATGCAGCTATTTCTAAATGCTTTCAATAACCTGCAATGGAATAATTGAAAAGCTTATTATGGTAAACCATATGTGGGACAGAGAGTATTTATTTAGTAAAATAATATCTCCAATCAAATTTGCAGTGGACTGAGTTATTTTAACTTTACAAAAATATATATCATATGTACATATTTTTCTAAAGTACAAACACCACACATTTTGATGAAATATTCTGGCTTCCAAAACTTTAAAAACTGTTTTAATTTAAAATCTTATGGCTGTGCTATAAGGCCTCCTGAATGTAGAAGCTTCTAATCCTAGTGATGACAGAGTTTTAGCTCCTACTGTGAATGGATGCACTCTGTACATATTACTTGTACCAGTATTTTAGACTTGGGAAACCAGCTTTCTCGGCAAAAGACAATCCTTCTTTTACAATTTTTTAAGGACATGAGAAGGCACAAGCACCTTTACATTACAGTTTGTGTTCGTTTTATCCCATCCTTAATTTGACTGTGTGGCTCAGTATCTCATTCCCATGTAAACTTCCATTAGGAACACAAATTGCTGACACCACATCTACTGACAGAAATGCCACAACATAAATTATGCCAAGAAAATGCCGCTTTGGGTGGGGGGCATGGCAGGAGGAACTACACTAGATAAAAAGCCACTGTGCTATTGCCCAGCCTGCAAGCCCGTCCCGCTGACCACTGATAAAATTTATCACAGAGCCACATACGGGAAGGCAGCTTAGAGAAGAGTCGTCTGTGGTAAAACGTGTAACAGCAGAACAGCTAATGGAGCTTTATTACTTTATTGGAGGCAGTGTCTCTGGATGCTTCACTTTCCCAGCTCTAGCAAGTGTAGGAATTGTTCTTCTATATGCAGAAGAGCTGATACAACCAACCAAACAAACAAAACTGAAAAGAGAAAAGTTTGTCGAACTCTGAATGATGGCAACAGGCGTCTCCGGGGCTCACCAGTTCACCACTCTGCCCAGCACGCCTTAACCAGCAGTGGCAGGAAAGAGTTTCAGCAAAGTTATAAACCAACCTGAATCTTCATTCTTAAAGGAGTGCTGATCTCTACTGTTCATGGTCTCTTTGTAAAGAAGCAGTCTTATAAGTTCTTGGCTAATTATTGCTGTAGAAATTCGGTACTGGCACTGTAGAAATATCCAAATTCCACCAACAAAAAGACTCTCATTTACCAAGAAATTAAAAACAACAACAACAACTTTGTCATTGGATTGGGCTTATTCATTAGGGGTTAAAGGAAAGAGGCTGGGGAAGTTTGCACATGGCCTGGTCAGTCACAATTGAATGGTTTGAACGGTTACAAATAAAAGTGATTAGGGGCATGGTGTCTTAAATGCCAGCAAGACAGCATTTCCAAGAAAGGAGGGAGGTCAGCTGTATCACAAGCCTCTAAGAGAGCAGGAGTGATGTCATTGGGACGGGGACAGAGGCCATCCTGACTGCTCGTTCTCACAAGAACCTAGTAACTATTCATGAACCAGGCACAGCTGAGAGCATCACAGAACATGGAGGTGAGGATGAAGGCCCCTCCCGCACCACAGAGACCCAGACAGACTGCATTAGAGGGGTAAGAGGAGCGGCTGCGCCCTGGCCGCATTGCCCTCCCCCAGGCCAGAGCAGCCAGCATCGAATGGTCTTCTCTGAGCCTCTGGTTCCTCTGGTGGGAAAATGATCAACATATCTGAGTATTTTGTTGTCCTTATCATCTTTGCTACCCATTAGCCATGACTTAAAACATATGTAATTGGGAGGGCAAGGAGCAACTGTATTCTGCCCCTTCTATACAATGTGCATCCCAGTCTCTGAGCTCTGTTCACTCCTACATGTTCATTGGAGAAGTGAGGATTTTGGAGAGACTGTCTCCAGTTATGTAAGAGAAACTGCATTGTTATGTACTGGGTCACTTTATTTTATTTTATTTATTTATTTATTTATTTATTTATTTATTTATTTATTTTTATCCTCACCCGAGGACATTTTTCCATTCTTTGTTCAGGTAGAGTGGAAGGGAGAGAGAGGAACAGAGAGAGAGAGAGAGAAACATCGATGTGAAAGGGACACATCAAGTGGCTGCCACCCGCACAACCGACCAGGGCCGGGGACAAACTGCAACCGAGGTACGCGCCCTTAGCGGGAATCGAACCCGGGTCTCTCAGGACCGCAGGCTGACGCTCTAACCGCTGAGCCAAACCGGCCAGGGCTGTACTGGGTCACTTTATACTAAATCTGATAATATCAGCAAAGGACATTAGTAAGGGAGCAAAGTTTTCATTTCTTACGCTTAACCTCAGAAGCTGGGAACCTCACATTGACCTTTGCTTTCTGTCCGAGTCCATTGTTAACACCATTTGTATATAACATCTTACAAAGCTGCATATCTCGCCTCTATAGTTCCTAAGTTCCTATTTCATGTCTACTATCTCAGTTTAAAACAGCACTTTATTTTATTTTTTCTAAATACATCTCATTCAATTGTTAAGGGAAATTATTTTCATATCTAAATGACCAGGATTGGTGAATCATAATAGGTACTATTTACTGAATGCCTAATATGTACTAAATACTGTTTAGGAGATTTTTATATGTTAACTCATTTAGCCCTCTAAAAACTCTATGAAAATATTTATTATTATTAATAATTTTTATTATTAACAAACAGACACTCTTGTAAGTCCCTTAACCTCTTTTGGTCTCAATTGCCTCAAATGTAAATATGAAAAATAATCCTTTAACAGTGTGAAGACAGGGGGTGGATTAATTGGTCTCTATGGATTCCTTTTAGGTTTTAAGATGCTGCTGATAAAACAACAAAGAAGAAAAAAAGTCGTATCTGTTTCAGGATGCAGAGCAAAGCCATCAAAAATCTACCTGTCTCTGACACTGATCTCACTACTGTAGTTAACAATATAATACAGTTGGTTGGAAAACAGTTTTTTGTTTTTTTTTTAATCCTCACCCCAGGATATTTTCCCACTTATCTTCAGATAGAGTGGGAGACAGTGAGGTAGGGGGAGAGAGATAGAAAGAGAGAGAAACATTGATGTGAGAGAGACACATTGATTGGTTGCCTCCCACACGACCCAGACCAGGGCCGGGGACCCAACTGCAACCAAAGTACATGCCCTTGACTGGAATCGAACCCACGACTCTTTGGTCCACAGGCTGATGCTGTAACTGCTGAGCCATACTGACCAGGGTGGAAAACAGTTGTTGTATATAAATTGAGAAAGCAACCTAGAATAAAAAAGGAAGTAGGTAACGAACCTTCAAAGAATGACCGTTATGATGGAGTCAGCATCAGCTGACTCTGGAGTCTTGGTCAATGTACTCACCAGGTATCTTGGAGAGCCTCTGTTTAGAAAATGGAGAACAAATTGATGATGGAACATTTAGGTTTTGTGAGCCAAAACGGATTATTGTTTTTAATGAATGAAGAATGTAGACTTCAAGGTACCCAACGTTGCATATGTCATTTCTGGAAGAAAAAAAAAGAGTCTTCATGCTAACTTTTATTTCAAAAACTAAAGCTAATTTAGCATTCTGATAGATAACATTGATGGTTATTACTGAGAAAGCACAAAGGTGATTGCTCCACTGACATAAGAAGAGGCAGAGACTAGGAGGCAAGAAAGCTAGACAGCAAGCCCTCATTTATCAAAAACTAATGCGTACACTTGTTTCTTCCTTCTTTTCCCCATTTTAGTGTTCATTACATTCCTTTGTACTCCTCTCCAGCTTGGCCTGAGACCCAGGACTCCAGTCTTTTGTCAGCCAGAAGAGAAAGAATGGAAATGGAGTGGAAACGTGTGTTGAGTGAGGATTCTTGATTCGGAGGAGGTCATTTTTATCTAGTCCTTGAAATAAAGCAAGGGTAGTTCAGGGAGATTCTCCATGCATCCTGGGCAGTGGGCGTTCATATGAGGCATTGTCCACTGGGTCATGATGCTTGAATCTAATCGTAATCGTCTGAATCAACGTATTTATATACAGAACTCATTGGCCCACATAACCACAGTGACAATTATGAGTATTTTAACTAAAGTAGGGAGGGAAGAGGTGGTTAAAAACAATGAAAACATTACCAAAAATACTTAGTAGTAGCAAAGAAAAAGAAAGAAACCACAGAGGTTTCCCATTTATTATATTAGCACTTTTCTGATCCTTCATGACTTGACGTTTTTCTTTCTAACAGAATCTTGTGAATATCCCAGTTACACCACATGCTGGAAATAGAAAGAAGGAGAGCCTCCCTTTCTTCCTACCTCCCTCTCACGCTTTCAATATTCTGTGAATCTGACCCATTTATCACCTGGAAGCACAGTTTCTTATTGAGGAACTTAAAGGATCTTATGTAAGCAAAGTGCACTCAGCACAGAGGAGCCCTCATGTCTCATTCTTCCTTTAATTTGGGAAAGATAACCTTTGAAAATCAGGTGTCCAATGCTAAAATAAGGTCTGCAGTCAAACACAGGCTACAACCCCTAATGTCTCTCTTGTCATTGGAGAAGGGTACCCTACTCTTTCTCTCAGGTAACATGACAGACTTCATGTTTAGTAGAATGGTGAAGTTTGAAGGAATATCAAGGTTGTTTTAGGGATAATGTAACCTTATTTTTAACATGCCCAATGCAACGTATCAGAATATTGGAAACAAACTCATGTCCTTTAAAAAATTTGGCTCAACTAAGTATCATTATGACTTTTGTGGTTAGAAACAAGTCATTGTCTTTCCCAATTTCATGTTAGTTGTGTTCAGCATCACTTACATTCCTAAGGGAGGGGGAGAATAGAGTGTCTTTGGCTAGTTAACCTGACAATAATGTTTATGGAACTGTCACTGGGAAATTCAATTATGTAAAAGGAAACTGTGGCCAAAGAAAAGTCTTGAGGCAACTGCAAACATTATTGGTTTTCTTTTTTGGAAAGAAAACTTTTTTTTTTTTTTTTTTAATAAAGAGAGAAAGCAGACCACCAAAATAAAAATTGAAATTGAAATTATAAGGGTAATTGAATAGATGCTATACTAAATTTTTGAAAAATTGCTTATCTATCTAATTTCATAATTTTACTTAAGTATCTTTTTCACATTTGTAAACTACAGAGATCCTTTTGTGTTTCTAAATCTTATTTTAAAAGATTTTCTAATTATAATTACGCTCTTATTCATACCATGTTAGAACTTAATGTGCACTAGAGGAGTGAATTGTGTAAATAGCAAATACTTTAATGTGGTTTCTCATCCAACAATGGTTTATAATAAGGTATTAGTAGATGATAAATGTGGCTACATAATATTCCCAAAATATTTGGAAATGAAAAGAAAATTATGAAGGAATTTCTTCTCTTGCACAGTCAGGCTTTATAAAGATATTTCCGAGGATAATGCTCTAAACAGACAGTGGTTGATCATAATAGCTACCTGACCTCATTAAGGCATATTAATAAATTAAAGCTCAGTGTTCAAGATTCTAGTTCCTTGGGCAAATCCACTGGGAGAACTTTGTTGAAATGACTCTTGAAGTAGCTCCAGGCAGGGTTACACTTGAATATTAGGTTTAAGGAGCAACAATAATGCATTGTTTTCAAAACTTAAGGAGGTGGTACTTTGGAAGAATTTTTGTATGTTGTTACCACTATTACTCAAAAACACTGGGTTTTTAAAAGGATTTCCTTCTTTATAAAAAATTTTTTATCGTTGAAAGTATTATTTCTTTTAAAAGCCATTTGTTACCCCTTGAGAGTCAGCCTGGTAGTATGTCTCAGATAGCGTGGACCTGATAAGCAGACAATCTTCCCACAGTGATATTGCTGGAAAGAGTTATCTGCACTCCTAATCTTTACTCTTTCACCTACCACTCAAGTCCTCAACCTATTTTAATTTTTGGTTCTGCCACTGACTAGCTGTGTGACCTTGGACAAATTGACACTTCTTTTCATTTTTTATTCTTGAAAAGGGCATAATACTAGTGCCTAACCCATACTATTATGGTAATTGAATGAATGTGTGTGTGAAGATACACATACCTATATATGGTTATATACACACATATATATTTACATATATGCTAACAGAGGTAGTTATCTTCTGTACTACCAAATGGCCTGTACGAGGAGAATAGACACATCTTAATCTTTGTATTTGACTTCTCAACCATATTGGATACTGTTGAACACTCTCTTTTTCTGAAACTCTTCCTGCTCCTCCTATTTCCATCATTTTCTCTGCCATCTATTCTGCTGTCTTTATAGAATTTCCCCTTCCCTCTCATTCCTTATATGTTGGGCTTTATCAGAGCTCAGCCTTTGGCACTTTGCTCTTCTTGCTCCGTCCATTCCCCTTGGTCAATCTCATTTGGTTTTAGAATTTGAATTATCATAAAACCTATAAGCTGATGACTTCCAAATGTCTATATCTGGCGTAGACTTCACGACTGAGTGTCAAATCTCTAATGTACCTGTCTCTAAGCATCCCCGTCGCATGGCCCAAAGGTATCTCACAGGCAACATGTTCAAAATTGGATTGTCAGCTTTTCTGCCCCATGTTTCCCACTCTCATTAAACGGTTCCATTACTTATCTAGTTTCTCATCAAACTGAGGTTTATATTTGTTTCCTCCCTTCCTCCCCATGACTCACCCACATACAATATGAACCTTATACGCTCTTCATCTTAAGTACAGGTTACTTCCTTAATTTTATTTTATTTGACTGTCTCAACCCTACTTTGTCCCTTGCCTGATCTGCTATAACAACCTCATGGTTGGTTTTCCTGCTTCCAATTCTGTCTTCAAGTCTCTATGTAGAAGATAAAAAATGGTTCTACAAAGCAAATCGAATTATGTTCTTCCCCAGCTTAACGATATTCAGTTTTCTCGACGTGATGTATAATGCCCTGTGAAATGGACTTTGCTTATCTTTTCAATGTATGCGCCTCCATAGGATCCTTGTCTTCCTACCTCTGGCATTCCGCAGTTGCTATTTCCTCTGCCTAAAATGCTTCCCTAATTTCCCCACCCTTCTCTGACTCAGCTGATAATTACACTCTAGGTCTTAGCTTAGATTTCACTTCCTCTAAGAAGCCTTCCTAGGCATTGATTCCTCCAAGTCTCCCCCCCCCCACATTCTCAATGACCCCCTTTACTTCTTCCATCATAACATGTACTACATTGCTTTGCAATTGTAGTTTACGTCTCTGTCCCTATTAGACCTTAATTCCAACAGGACAAAGGTCATGTCTATATTTCTTAAGATTATATTCTCAGCATCTAACTTAATGTTAGTTATTTAGACTGTATAGAATAAAAATATATGAGTGCATGTATATTTGGCTATGACTTTAAAGTAAGAATAACTAAAATATGGGTCAAAGCTTATAATTTGCTTTTTTTAAGAAAAGGGAACTTTAGAATTTCATGGAAACAATACATATAAACTGAGAGGACACTACCAGGAGCAAGATTTTAAGGCACAGAATTATGTGGCCTTGGGGTGATGTCCGTTTAATCATATTACAACACAGCATAATTTAATTCTGGTGTCATTCTCATCAACATGCAGGCATTGGAAAACAAACCAAGTCTTGTCTGACTACAGTCATGCATTTTATGTTTTATTTAGCCAATTTATTTTAGTAAATATAGGTATAAAGACTTCCATCATTATAGTTTGAAAGTGAGAATTTTTCTGTTCTCTTTGCCTTTTTTCTTTTCTTTCTTTTCCTTCCTTCCTCCCTCCCTTCCTTCCTTCCTTCCTTCCTTCCTTCCTTCCTTCCTTCCTTCCTTCCTTCCTTCCTTCTCTCTCTCTCTCCCTCCCTCCCTCCCTCCCTTCCTTCCTTCCTTCCTTCCTTCCTTCCTTCCTTCCTTCCTCCTTCCTTCCTTCCTTCCTTCCTTCCTTCCTTCCTTCCTTCCTTCCTTCCTTCCTTCCTTCCTTCCTTCTCTCTCTCTCCTTCCTTCCTTCCTTCCTTCCTTCCTTCCTTCCTTCCTTCCTTCCTTCCTTCCTTCCTTCTCTCTCTCTCTCCCTTCCTTCCTTCCTTCCTTCCTTCCTTCCTTCCTTCCTTCCTTCCTTCCTTCCTTCCTCCTTCCTTCCTTCCTTCCTTCCTTCCTTCCTTCCTTCCTTCCTTCCTTCCTTCCTTCCTTCCTTCCTTCTCTCTCTCTCCCTTCCTTCCTTCCTTCCTTCCTTCCTTCCTTCCTTCCTTCCTTCCTTCCTTCCTTCCTTCCTTCCTTCCTTCCTTCCTTCCTTCTCTCTCTCTTTCTCCTTCCTTCCTTCCTTCCTTCCTTCCTTCCTTCCTTCCTTCCTTCCTTCCTTCCTTCCTTCCTTCCTTCCTTCTTTCTTCATCATATGACCTATTTTTCTTCAGCCTATGCTTTAAAATACCTGTTCATCTCTTTTTCTACTTCTTCACAAGGTGAAACTCACTTATAAAATAAAATCCCAATTTTGTAATCTTTTATATCCACTTAGAGCAAGAGTTTTCAGATGAGATAGCTTTGAACTAGTGGTACTATTATTCTGTTTGGTTGGTTTACCATTTTAGTTGGTTTTATTCTCAGTATCCCCATTTCTAAGAATGAACTGATATAAAGCAATATCTTTTCTCTGGCATTTTAAAAGATGTTTAATTCAAAGACTAATCAATATAGCTACTTGTTTTATCTTCCCCTTCTAGCAAACTAAGTTATTAAATGAAGACAGACTATTTTTTAAAAATATGTTTTTATTGGTTTTAGAGGGAAGAAGGGAGAGGGAGAGAGAGAAACATGGATCAGCTGCCTCCTATACCATACCTTGACTGGGGACTGTGCTCTGACCAGGAGT